AGTGTTACGTCGGCGCAACGTATTATTTGAGCCTAAGCTTTCGCTCAATAGCTCGGGATTCACACTGGGCGCGTAGGTGAGACGCGGGGTTAAAAAAGTAATTCAGCTTAACGACGCGTTACTCAAAAAGGGGTACAATTGCTTTCACGCGACTAAGACTGACTGCTGTGCAATATTCCGATGCACTTGCTCGCGGCTTTCTTTTGCCAAGAGCGGTATATACCTTGTTCACGATCTAGAAACTGTTAACACCGTCACGAGTAAGGATATCGTACGTAATTTAACCTTGACACACTAATATCGTGGTGGGTATTTGCCTTAATCCGATCATTCGTTGTTATTCTGATGGTATTATTACCGCGGAGAGCAACGGATGGTGCGTGGCTAATTTGCTATTCCCGGTGACCGTCGGGTGCCAATACTGTGGCGAGTAATGGTGTTCGCGCAAACAAAACACTTTATAATTCCCGGTGATCCACGGGTACTAATATGGCGTTCGCGCAAACAAAACACTTTATACTTCCCGGTGATCCACGGGTGCGAATACGGCGTTCGCGCAAACAAAAACACTTTATACTTCCCGGTGATCCACGGGTGCTAATACTATGGCGAGTAATGGCGTTCGCGCAAACAAAACACTTTATAATTCCCGGTGATCCACGGGTGCCAATACTATGGCGAGTAATGGTATTCGCGCAAAAGGAAACACTTGATCAAAAGAAAGAATCTTTAGAAATATGATACTTGGTCACTTATTTTTATTTAAACGTGAAAGTTGCTACAGGCGTTGAACCAGCGTAGACAGAAGCCGCGCTCGAAGAAGATCAAGTGGCAGTAGAGACGGACTCTGGTAACCAGTCGATCGTTCGAGGGTGGTAGCGAAATTCGACTGTGTCCTCGCTTCGTAGTAGACTGGGTTGTAGCAGAGTCGGGCTCTCACTACTCAGTCTACTTTGAAGGGTATCGTTGAGTCGAGTCGAGTCGAGTCGAACTCCGAACTACGAACTGCAAACTGATTTTCCTCTGGGCCAACGGGCCTTTTTATTGCGAGAAGCGGACCTCGGTCACGCGCTGGCTCGAAAAACGCAGGAAAACTTGCCGGGGGAAAATTTTGAAGAAAAGACAATAGCTGAAGATCTAATTGGCTAGAACTGCTCTAGTTTAGCCACTCAGAAATGGGCACATCCCACATCCGGCTTGTTCTCCTCTGTGCGTCAAGAGAAGGGAAGGTGATTCACTTACTCATGCCCTTCCTTTCTCTTTTACATCAAAAGTTGACAGAATTTCAATATATTTTAACCTTAACATTACGACAAGGTATTGTTAATATTTACTAATGCTACATATCGGTTGTTCGTTCAGCTAAGCTCATTGCAAAAAGAGCGGTGAAAATCGCTTAACAATTCAATTGATGCTAGGGTGAACAAACGATTGGTGAGTTGTTAGTTAATACTACTACTTGAGCGCTAAAACGGTGGCTGCGGCCGTACTAACTTATAATTAGCGGTGATATTAATAATAATAGTAATAACAATAATAATAATAATGATGATAATAATAACAGTAATAATCATAATAATGATAATAAGAATAGCAGTTGTTAGAATACTAGTGCTTTGCTTGTTGGGAGTTAACATAATTTGTTTTACCGGTAGTTTGAATGTTAATAATGTTACAAAAATAATGGGGAATTTTTGGATAATTTTGGTAAACATGTTTTTCTGCTGCTAGTAGTTGGAGAGGGAGTCATCTCGTGGTACCCTGGGGAATCAGAACTCTGTTACCCTTATTGGAGGCAGGCATACGGACTCTCTCTCCGAGTCAAGCATACATTTATATTATTATCATTTTCTTTTCCACATCTTTCCACCTTCTTTTCTTACTTTTCTTTAATTCTTTTCACGTAGCCAAAAATATACATATATGTATATATGAACGTTGTAGTGTGGTGCATTTAGGCAAAGCATACGTACATTGTACCGATACATGGGATTGTTCGTGCATGCACGCGTTTGACGACGCATCAGAATATTGTACTTCAATGTTTCTGCTATTTTTTTCCATGTATAGGTATAACATTATGAAATATTTTTACTACAAACTATAGGGAATCAGGATAGTTAAGTAAAAACTTGATTCATCATCGTAAAATCGTTTATTATTATTAAAAAAAGCATAATGCGGTATTATACACTATATTACACACCATATATTTTTTTATTATCTTTTATTTAATTTTTTGTTTGTTTCTTTTTTCTCAGCTCTTTGGTTGGATCACTTACCCATACCAAATATTTCCCGGTCTAAAATTGTAAAGTTGCATAATATGCCGATATTTCAAGCTCTGGNTTACTTAGGGCACAAAGTGTAACTGCCACTCTTACCCTCTGGCTACAATTTGCACTTTCATAATCGCGTCTGGTGAGCCCAAAGTACTATTCTGCCATGAAGCACAAAGTTAATTATCAAACACAAGGTGTGTTCACGAGTTCTACTTGTACCCTCAGGAGATAACTGTTGAACATTAAAATATTATAAGTTTTTATCAAGATTTCAAAGAAATGACTTCAAATAAAATAAAAATTCTTTTTTTGTCAGCTATTAAGTAAAAATAATTTAATAGCTAATATTTCAGACTAAAAAATAAATATCTTGTGACACATAACATTATTGCATGGCCCCCTTCCCCGAGCGTAAATATTCGTATGATTCAACGAAATCCCCGTCCCCTAAAACTGTCCATGGCATTTGGGTAAGACCCCTTAGCAATCACCACAGATTGCTTGTTTTTGTTAAAGTTATAATAACTACTATTTATGAACTCTATCACCTACTCTAGGTGTTATTATCTTGATGGTATTATCGGATTGTTATACCACATATCACAACATGCAAATTTATTATTTACGAGAAATATACCATGGCATGCAAATTTACAACGCACGGGGCTTAAGATGTAAATATTTAAACATAATTGGATATTTGTTACCTGATACCGTTCAATAAATGGTCCATGTATTGGAGAATAACTTGTTTGGAATGGAATTCGCTTAGTGTTAAGAACATAATTGTTTTTTTTATGGAACGGCCTGTCGATAGAAACAAATTCAGTCTCGGCGTATGAAGAGTTCCAGGTGCTTGTGAAACTATTAGTTTCGGCTTTTTTTTCGCTAGACTTCTCCATAGTACTGCAGACAATTGCTAAAATAAAAATATGATTCTTTTAGAATAAAATTTAACATTACTGTATTTTGCAATTTTTATTTTGTTTACTTTTTTAATCAACATTTTTAAAGATTTTTTTTTCTTGGATATAAATAATAAAAGAATGTATACATATAACTTTTGTAAGCCATCACAAGTATTGTACTATTGTAAATAACAGTTTTAAAAAAATATAACGTTTTGCTGATCGGATGTATTCAGATATATATATCTTTCTAATCTTTCTTTATATGGTTATTACTACATTCTGTTATTATTTAATAAAATTCAAACTTTTATTTTTAATATGTTATTTAATAGTTATAAATAGACTAACTAATAATGATGAGAATAATATAGGGCCACATATGACTAACTGGCTAGTGACACCTCTGACAGAAAAACCTAGGAAAACAATTTGTCTACACTCGATGAGCGGTGGAAAGCTACTAACTAAAATGTTGTGCAAAGAAATGCACCTTGCGCCAAGCTTTAGTTAAAACTTCTTTATCTTACATGCTATGGGGCCGGTACTTGCTGACTTCATGTATTTAGGCTTCGTGGCTCGCTTCGGTTGTCACTTGACACTTCCAAGAGCCACGAAGTATACAGTCAGCTTTGTTAGGTGACGACTTTCGTTACGTATGACTCTTTTAAGAGTCTTAAAATTTTATCATTGAGGGAATAAATAGGATATAAAATAGAATAAAATAAAAATTTATTTATTTACGCAAGTTGTTACTTAACACTAGCCGTTGATTACTGATGCCCCTCGAGATATATAAGTCATATAAGAAAGTTTATTAGCTGTCTAAAAAATAGGATTAATTACTTTTTGGAATTCTGGCTTCTCTAATAAAAGCAGCCAAAAAATAACTTGATATTTCTGGACAAGAATAGAACACTCAATCCTTTAGGTTTCTCTGGTTAGGAGACTAGCACGCTCACCACTGAGGCTTTGAAGCTCATCCTAATATTTTCTTAATATTTTCTTATAGTTCTTATAAAGTGACTTTTAAACAACCTTTTTTACGTCTACTTTTTTTAATAACCTTAAATCTACTTTATAACTGTCACTTAATATAGTTTTAATCCCTAAAGAAAATAAAATTATGACCACGCTCATTTTACGGTTCATTGTGGTTCATAATTGAACAAAATCAATTTAAATTATTGGAATGCAATATCATGGGCTAACACGAGATATTTATTAGTTAATTTCTCTATTAGCTAAAAGCTTTGGGTAATACAGGGCATAGCCCATTGTTAAAAAATCGTTAGTATAAGCTGATACGATTTTATGAAGTAGGAAGAGGAAATAATTCAGAGACCTGTTAACCATTTATTTATGGTATAAGCTACATCTATCATATTTATATGATACAAAAAAAAATATTAGCAACGATACCAGAATTGTTTTTATACAATATATGCATAACGTAATGAATATGTCTTTGAATCATTATCTTTATATATGGTAACACAAGCATGGTAACGCTTTAAAATCTCACCTTCTAACACACGAAAACAGCTTATATTTTTTGGATACGGTTCAGGATATCCTGGACTGTAAAATTCTTGTTTTATGGAATCTCCTTCTTCAAATTTCATACAAGCATCCAGATCTTCTCTTTTAACTCGTATAATATTTGCTATGTTTGAAAGTGATGTGGTCTTATCTATGCGTACTACGTCGGATATCTAAAAATAAAGTTTTATTTTTTGTTTGACTTAGTAGAGATATTAGTTTTGTTTTAGCATAAAACATATTGTTGAAAATATTTGTCAATAAAGAATTACTTTATATTAAGCATCAAGTACAAATATCTGAGAAAGTTATTACATAAAATAAGTTTTACTTAAAACATGTGATGGATCGAAAGCTTAATATATTTTGCAACGTAGTCAATTTCAAAGGTTTATTTATCAAGATAGTATAGATAATCATTCTTATCAGTATAGTAGCTTATTGTATTAGTCCATTTATGCAGTATGTAATCGTTTTACAATATATTTATTGAATCATGCTTTTTATTTACCGTACATTTGTTATCAGTTAGATCTTATGTTTTTTGGATTAATTTTATAGCTCAAATAAAAAGTAGTAGGGCTTATGTGTTGGTGTATAATATGTAACAACGATAATGACAATAATAGCAATTATGACAAAGAGTAGTTAATGGCGGGGATGATGATGAGAATTGTGACGAGGATGGTTCTAGTAATTGTTAGAGGATCTTAATGACAATGACGACGTCAACTATGGTGATAGTAAAAATAACGTCAAAAAAAATAACTATTCACGAATAAAATTAAATTATATTTTTAAGACATAATGAAATATTGTCAGGTCAGTCAGTTGTCTAATTATTCTATGGTTCAATAAATGTTGAAGGTCTATGATTAGTAATAAATCTAAATATAACCTTATTACTGTTGAAAATGATGATATCTGAATTTTATTTCTATTAAACTTTTCATAAAAAGTATCAATAATTTATAAAAGTAAAATGGACCTTAGTGGTTATACCCAAATGCCGTGGAAAATTTTTTCGATTTTTGACTCCCCTCTCTCCCATGTAAACTTTGTGTTAATCAGAATTAAACCTCCCCTTTCCAAAGTTATGTTGACTTACTTTTTTTTCTACATTTTCCAAAAAAAATTTGAAATAATATATTTATAGATTAATAACTGTTGAACATTAAAATATTATAAGTTTTTATCAAGATTTCAAAGAAATGACTTCAAATAAAATAAAAATTCTTTTTTTGTCAGCTATTAAGTAAAAATAATTTAATAGCTAATATTTCAGACTAAAAAATAAATATCTTGTGACACATAACATTATTGCATGGCCCCCTTCCCCGAGCGTAAATATTCGTATGATTCAACGAAATCCCCGTCCCCTAAAACTGTCCATGGCATTTGGGTAAGACCCCTTAGCAATCACCACAGATTGCTTGTTTTTGTTAAAGTTATAATAACTACTATTTATGAACTCTATCACCTACTCTAGGTGTTATTATCTTGATGGTATTATCGGATTGTTATACCACATATCACAACATGCAAATTTATTATTTACGAGAAATATACCATGGCATGCAAATTTACAACGCACGGGGCTTAAGATGTAAATATTTAAACATAATTGGATATTTGTTACCTGATACCGTTCAATAAATGGTCCATGTATTGGAGAATAACTTGTTTGGAATGGAATTCGCTTAGTGTTAAGAACATAATTGTTTTTTTTATGGAACGGCCTGTCGATAGAAACAAATTCAGTCTCGGCGTATGAAGAGTTCCAGGTGCTTGTGAAACTATTAGTTTCGGCTTTTTTTTCGCTAGACTTCTCCATAGTACTGCAGACAATTGCTAAAATAAAAATATGATTCTTTTAGAATAAAATTTAACATTACTGTATTTTGCAATTTTTATTTTGTTTACTTTTTTAATCAACATTTTTAAAGATTTTTTTTTCTTGGATATAAATAATAAAAGAATGTATACATATAACTTTTGTAAGCCATCACAAGTATTGTACTATTGTAAATAACAGTTTTAAAAAAATATAACGTTTTGCTGATCGGATGTATTCAGCAACGTTACCGTAAAGTCTCGCTAAAATTTTGTTCTTATTGCTTTATTAATATATCTTACAGTTGAACGTGAATTCTATGAACCGTAGTCATTGAGATTTAAGTAATAAAAATTTAATGAAGCCCCATTCTTTTATTTAATATTCTTTTTCAGGATGCCTTTTTTACTCATTATTTCATTTGCTTTTTTAGCAGTTATAAATCGAATGAATAATTATATATCAGCTAATAAGGTACTCCAAGTTTAGCTTCCAGCACAAGAAACTTATTTTTATTACTTCAATAATTCTGGTGTGAGTCATTCATTTATATGATCATTTCGTTAATGAATTCTTTCCAGAGGTTAAAAAATTTTACCAAGAAGTAGTAAATGTTTTCACCCATTGCAGCCTTTTACATATTGCTTGCAGCTGTGACCTACCCTTGATTTTCACCTCTTGAAGCTTTGTTTGAATTGAGTCTTGATAAGATCAATTTATGCACAGTTGTAAAATTAAAAAGAAATTTCATTAATTAACATAAAAGTGACGAGCACCACTCATGGGAACTCAAAAATATATGAATAGGCTATTGTACTTAACAAGAATTGTTCTTTTAGAGTTCTTTTTTTTTCACAGATTTAAATAAACTAAAAACGGAATTTCTTATAGATTATAAAGGCATTTCTCATAAATATCAGTTTCTACTCTCATGTTTATATTGAAATACGAAAGTAAATGTATAATAAATTACAGAAACAGATGTGGTAAATCAAAAAAAGACACATCAATACACAAGTAAAAACTCGAAAACATAATAAATATGATGTCTAAAGATGATTATAGACGATTATATTTATCTAAGCTTAGAGGGTAATTTGGTGATAATAATGTTCTTCCGTAGGAAATATATATTCCTATAACGCTTACGATTGATTTTTATCAAAAAGTAGAAGGTAATGGCAAATAATGAATGAAATTACATATTTGAATATGAAAAAGCCTAGCACCGTTACGTTAAGAACTATTGTAATTAGAAGTTTGAATGTAATACTGTGAGTAAATCTTTAAGTAGTAGACCAGAAAAAAAAATTTTGTGTAAATCTTAACTTAGTTAGAAATTTTTAATTACTTAGGGCACAAAGTGTAACTGCCACTCTTACCCTCTGGCTACAATTTGCACTTTCATAATCGCGTCTGGTGAGCCCAAAGTACTATTCTGCCATGAAGCACAAAGTTAATTATCAAACACAAGGTGTGTTCACGAGTTCTACTTGTACCCTCAGGAGGAAAAACAATACATTCGACTCAGACACACACATACACCCAACAGAAAAACATTCTCGAGCAGACTTGAACACCGATTTTGCGCAATACGAGTGACTGCAAGGATAATGAAAAATGTAAAATTAGGTACAAGAAAGGCTTCGGAAGCATTTTCTAAATACTACTTTGTAGCTGGATTTATGTATATGGCAACATTATGAATAGAAAACAACTTATTGCAAATTCTTCGTACCCTATGTTTGTTGTTCACAACTGATTTCTTCGGGTTTGGATATACAGCTTTGATTTCGGACTAGAAATTCTAGAAAGCCCCTGAGTTATTGTATTGTTCTGCTAGGTCTCATAAAAGTTGCTCAACTGACTCTTAATAAGCGATTCATGGCTTTATTACCGCAATAATCCCTATAGTAATTTTTGCTGCAAGTGTGAGTAAGATGTCGACCTAATTGTATGGGAAATGGGAAGCGATATACTATGTGTGACTGTCCGCTGTTTCGGAGCATCTGCTAACACTTTGATGCATTGTGGAGGAAGGGAATCGTGTAGAGAATGTGTATTTTTTTTTTGTTACAAGGGAAAGTACATTATTGTTCTCTTCTTTGGTTCAGGGGCAATAAAGCATTTTTGTACGTGAGCGTATTCTGGAATATTTAATTTAGACCATTGGGACTGTCCATCAAGGTGTTTGTTGCATATTTCTTTACAGGGTTCCTGTTTTTGTCTGTATTTTCTTACCGTTATATGCTTCTCTTTTTCGTTCCCACGTATTAGCGATTGAATCTCCCTCTGTTTGCAGCGAGCTTATGTTTTCTGAAGATTCAATGGGGATAAAAGCGTAGTCTAGATTTTCAGAGGTCTTCAGCAGCTCTTTAAGACTTATTTTCAGGGATACTCTACACTTTTTAATGTTCGGTATAGTATCGGATTTATCTTATTTTCCGTTTCGTCTGTTACATCCCAAGTTGGTACAAATAAATCATATTATGAGTAAAAACGCAATTCATCCGTAAAATTCATACAAGACGTATTGTGTATTTACAGTAAGCTCATATAATAAGTAGAGCGTATACATCACTTATATGCGTGTGTGGGTATTAGCTTTAAGATTAATGTTTCATAATATGCTGACATATAATACAGGCAGCCTCGGTATAAGAATGCATGTGTGAATTAATATTGTACGTAACATGTATGAATGCATACATCGTATTGTATGTATGAATGAATAGTTTACTTGCGCATTGATTGTCCATTTCTAACAATGTATACTAATTTAAAAATTGTAATTAACACATCATTTCAGTATACTTAAAACTGATTGTAAAATCCCTGAAAGGATTCATTGCGAAATTTGTAAAATTATTTGTCACACCAGAACTTGTGTTTGGCGTTTTTTTTATTGTTGATACAAGTTTTCAACACGAGTTATCCATAGTATAAAAATAAATATTTTTACTCAATTAAAAACAACAAATAAAGCTCACGAGCTGAATCCTAAGAGAGCCATGAATGACACTAAAATAAAATGGTTAAGACCATACTCTAAATAAGTCTGGTCATAGCACGTCCAACTTTTTTTCCTCTTCAAAAAAGGAGTTAGTCTATCTTATGCTTTGCATTGGTTCCCGATTATTTCACGTATTTAACTTATTACTGAATATTTGCAATTCCACGAGCAGTAGGGTGTGGCCAAACTTCTTTTCCCGTTTCATTTATTTTTTACGGCCTCTCACAAGCTTCTAGTGCTATTGAAAAACAACTTTTTTAAAGACATAATACTTGATTGTAATGTACTAGGTCTCCATTATTATTAATCCATTGTCTTTTGAGTTCCATTTACTAATGAAACAGTGACTTTAAAATGAGTTTCTGAACCTCGTTAATTTATGAATAATCTGATCTTGAGATAAGAAAATTATTATCTCCGAGTATAGGTCGTAAATAGATGGTTGGTAAGAGTTTTTGAGATGGTTCGGCCAATTTAGGAATTTTTGAATCCAGTTGCTTGAGTGCACTTACTTTGACATGGCTGATAAACACAATAGTACAAACGTTGTTTTTTACATGGTCTACGTTGGTGTAAGCCAAACTTTTGCTTTTTCGGTGGTGGTATGCCACACTGCATCCACTGGGATCTCTATCTAGATGACGATGCATCAAACCAGAGTGGGTCGTTGGTCACCGCTGTTACCAAAATAAGCCTGTTACGGAAGGTTTCCGACAAAGAATGGTAGAGACTTTTCTTAAGTCGAATCCGTTTATGAAACAAAATCGAGAGAAAGTGTTGCAACTGCCCGGAAACTCTCGCAAAACTGCCATTCACCACCGTTGCACAATCGTAGTTCTCAAGCCCTGGCTCCTCCGAATCCTAAAAAAAATCGGAGAGGCATCACCTTATTTTCAGGGACAATACAAGCTTTCAATCTGTGTACTGACTCGGTCTTTCGACCTAGCTACTGACGAGTACTTGGGTGCTCGGCTCAGAAACAAAAAGCGTAAGCCACGGTTGTTAACTGGCTATTCGGGCCACATCTGTGATGATATACACATATACTAGTGGGGCTTCACCACCTTGTGCGCTTTACGCGCCAACTTCCTAATACTATATTTTAAAATAAAAGTTATGTGATCTTATATAACTACTTTAGATACAGTCTTAAATTATGATACCGCTTATGTATCTATATGTTGATCCGTATATTTGATCTATCTTGGATATGATACACCAAGCATAGATCTAGAATAGATTCTTCGCGGATAATTCTTTATATTCTGAGAAAGACAGTCAAAAATTTCAATGCACAGTGATTGGGTCATTTATCACTACTCAAACTAACTAGAATAATGAATTTCGGCTCTTTGACAATCTGAGACACTCTCTCTCGCGCTTTGTAAATAAGTGAGTAGAAAAGGGCTATTTATGACATAAAATTTAAGGTCAACTTTGTTACATGATACCTACATCTATTATAAATAATTCTGGTGATTCTTCTGACAGTCAACTATGTATATATATATAAGTAGTTGTTGCAACACTTTGGCCCGTCAAAACAAACCCCCATCACTCGGATAGGGGTCTGCTTTGACGAAGCCAAAGTGTTGCATGTAAGTATTTGTGAGGTGGGAGTATGAAAAACTGTCGAGCGGAGGGGAGAACATGCGAAATCTAAACTTTGCGAAAAGAGAGAGAGAGAGAAAGAAAGAGACGTGGAGAGCGATGATGTGTAATATGAGAAGTATTCTATTACTTACGTGGTATATTGCTTCGACGTGCGCAAATTGATCTCGCAATTTGTCTCTTTGTATTAATTTAGTGAAAATGAACGAAGTCACACTGGGTATTTTAAATTTTATAAAAAAATTTTGAAATTCGTATAANGCAAATTGATCTCGCAATTTGTCTCTTTGTATTAATTTAGTGAAAATGAACGAAGTCTTACTGGGTATTTTAAATTTTGTAAAAAAAATTTGAAATTTTTATAAATACAATTAAGTAACAAACATTAAATCT